TTTGATAGATTTCTATATAAAAATGATTTTGTAATAACGTTTTCAATTTTATTTTATTATTTAAATGGAGTTATCTAATTTTGTCTTTTCGTCTTTGATTTTTGCAAGTTATAAAATATTAAGAGTAAAAATAGTTCAAATATAAATATGAGAAATAATCCATCAATATTTTCAAAAGTAAATATTTGAATAGTAAAACAAGATTTAAAGTAAAAATTTACCAAATTTAAATAGGACTAAGAAAACTAATAGTTTCAAAAGATGTGATAAAATTTAATTGTAAATCACATAACAAAAACATAAAAATCAATTAATAAATGATATTCTTCTCGATCAATGGTTTTACATTAACATTCTTACTTTGATTTTATTTATGTTAACGGGTGATCTAATTTTTTTCACCATAATTAAATATTTTATTTTCTACAGATTTATAAAATATTAAATCACAAATCAGCATATATGCGGGTATTTCATGTAGTTAAAAATATAAAGTGTGTTTTAAATCTTGAATTTAGAGAACTAATCCACACTGTATTTTAAATCTTGAATTTTGAAATTAAAAATATATATAAAGTCTGTTGTTTTGTGCATAAAGTGTCGTACGTCGTATCACCAAGTTTATCAGGTTCGCTGTAAAACAAAACAAAAAAGTGAAAAATGTAAAAGGGGTAAAAACTCGCGTTGTCACGTGAGTGGCACGAGCTACCGGAGAATGAATCCAAAATTCAGCAATCGCGCCTCTGAAGAAAAAGCTCCCAAAATCTGAGAGAAAGCGGAAGACCGAAACCCTAAATCGAAATCGAATCTCTTGTCTCCGATCAGCTCCAAGTGGTAATTTTCCCGTTTTCTCAGCTTCCTTTTCTAATTAGGGTTTCGATTTCCATTTCACTGGTTTTGAAATTGGTCGTTTGTCTCTCCTGAAAACGTAATCGGAATAGAGCTGATTGTTTGATTCCGCAGCTGCTATTTGTAGTTTGTTGTCGTATTAGTTTCAGGGCCGGTCCCGAGATTCGGAGTTGTTATGTAGAAATTGAGTAATTTGGGTTGATTATTGATTCGATGAATCCATTTGCTTTCAGGTATCTTTCAAATGGCTGAGTCGGAATTTCTCGATTCCATCAGAAACTGCCAAGAGGTACATTGTTGGGAATTCACTATCTTTTTGGCTACTTAAGATCTTTTTATTGTTCTGAAATCCGTGACTCATTTGTAAAAATATCACTTATGTGCACATTTCCAAAAATGTCATTTAGGAGTATTCATTTGCAAAAATGTCACT